AAAAATGGAAAAGCATATAAAAAGATATCCAAAGGCTTGAATGTACCAGTCAGAACAGTTCAATCACTCATTAAGAAGTGGAAAATTCCGGTATCCCTTGATACCAAGCCAAGGTCAGATAGCCCAAGAATGATTGCAGCCACAACTGCCAGAAGAATTGTTTGGAATAAAAAAGAAAAGCCCACAGTTCACTTCAGGAGAAATACAGGCTGCTCTGGAAAAAGATGGTGTGGTTGTTTCAAGGTGCACAATAAGACGATACTTGAACAACAATGAGCTGCATGGCCGAGTTGTCAGAAAGAAGCCTTTACTGCACCAATGCCACAAAAAAGTCCAGTTACAATATCACTGACAATACCTGGATGCGCCGTTTTTTTTTGTGGCATTGGCACAGTAAAGGCTTCTTTCTGACAACTTGACCATGCAGCTTATTTTTGTTAAGGTGTTGTCATGTTGTACACATCATTTGTAAGAATGACACAGTGTTAATCCTGTATCAGTTTAGTATTATCATCAATCATTATCCTCGTCACTTCCAAAGGTACTATCCTTCATGATGGTATATACAGTGAGGAACAGAAGTATTTGAACCCCCTGCGATTCTGCAAGTTCTCCCACTTCTCCATCATGGAGGGTCTGACATTCACATTGCAGGGGATTCCCACTCTGAGGACAGAATTCAGGAGATCACATTGTATGATTTGTAAAGAATGTATTTGTCTCGCACGGTAACAGAAGTATTTGAACCCCTGAGAAGATCCGTGTTAATATTTGGTACAGAAGCCTTTGTCTGCAATTACAGAGGTCAGACGTTTCCTGTAGTCCTTGGCCAGGTTTGCACTGCAACAGGGATTTTGGCCAACTCCTCCACACCGATCTCCTCTAGATCTGTCAGGTTTCGGGGCTGTCGCTGAGCAACACAGAGTTTCAGCTCCCTCCAAAGATGTTCTATTGGATTTAGGTGTGGAGACTGGCTGGGCCACTCCAGAACCTGGATATGCTTCTTAAGGAGCCACTCCTTGGTTCTCCTGGCTGTGTGCTTCGGGTCGTTGTCATGTTGGAAGACCCAGCCACGACCCATCTTCAATGCTCTGACCGAGGGAAGGAGGTTGTTGCTCAAAATCTCACAATAAATGGCCCCATTGATCCTCTCCTTAATACAGTGCAGTCGTCCTGTCCCCTTCGCAGAAAAGCCCCCCCAAAGCATGATGTTACCACCCCCATGCTTCACAGTAGGGATGGTGTTCTTGGGATGCAACTCATCCTTCTTTTTCCTTCAAACACGACGAGTGAAGTTTAGACCAAAAAGTTCTACTTTGGTCTCATCTGACCACATGACTTTCTCCCATGCCTCCTCTGGGTCATCCAGATGGTCATTGGGAACCTTCAGACGGGCCTGGACATGTGATGACTGGAGCAGGGGAACCTTCAGGCGGGCCTGGACATGTGATGACTTGAGCAGGGGAACCTTCCATGCAATGCATGATTTGAAACCATGGCGGCGTAGTGTTCTCTACCAACAGTGACCTGTGAAACTGTGGTCCCAGCTCTCTTCATGTCATTGACCAGCTCTTCCCTTGTAGTTCTGGGCTGATTCCTCACCTTTCTTCTCATCAGTGATACCCCACGAGGTGACATCTTGCATGGAGCCCCAGTCTGAGGGAGACTGACAGTCGTCTTTAGCCTCTTCCATTTTCTAACAAGTGCTCCAACAGTTGATCTATTTTCACCAAGCTGCTTGGCAATTGCCCCGTAGCCCTTTCCAGCCTTGTGGAGGTCCACCATTTTGTCTCTGGTGTCTTTTGACAGCTCTTTTACTTGCCCATGGTAGTAATTGGCGTCTGACTGACTGTGGGGTGGACAGGTGTCTTTAAAGAGCTCAGACAGGTGCTACTAAGTCAGAATAATGAGTGGAGTAGAGGGGGACTTTTTAAAGGCGCAGTAACAGGTCTTTGAGAGCCAGAATTCTTGCTGTTTCTTAGGTGTTCAAATACTTCTGTTCAGCCGTGCGAGAGAAATACATTCTTTACAAATCATACAATGTGATCTCCTGAATTCTGTCCTCAGAGTGGGAATCCCCTGCAATGTGAATGTCAGACCCTCCATGATGGAGAAGTGGGAGAACTTGCAAAATTGCAGGGGGTTCAAATACTTCTGTTCCTCACTCTGTACGTTAGTAACTGTACGGGTCATGGGAAGCTGGAGAGCTCTGAGTTGGTAAATGTCACAGAGTTATTCCTCCCCCCCCATCCCCCGGTGCCTGCTTGCCACCCCCACCCCCCAGCCAAAGCACATGGACCTGGATAACAGCATTCTCCTAATCCCAGTTGTAATTGTTGAAAAGCCAGTTTTTTTCATGTAGAGAGCTGCACAGACATGACCATTACTGGAGACAAGGGTGCTCAGCCCGTGGCCCATGGAACACATGTGGCTCACAAAGCCCTCTGATGTGACCCTCAACCTCAAACCAAGGAAGTGTATGCCTGGGGTCAGCCCCTTGTTGATCATGATCCAGGCTTCCTGATCTGCCATCCCAGACCATCAGAGTGCACTGAGCCTTCGGCAGCAGCGGAGGAAGCAGATGGCCGCGGAGAGAACAGCAACCACCTCTGTAGCACTGGTGGACTGTTCCAGGTGGACTGATGCCAAGTGCACTTCTCCTGCGACCTTCCTAGCAGCCTTGAGAGCAATGCCAGCAGAAGCTGGAAGAGGGAAAAAGAAGGTCAGTGTATTAACCTGTTGGCGCCGACAGTTCGCAAATATGCATCCTCTTGGCGGCTGGGCCTTGACCCCGAGAAGCCGCATATTTGCATACCCAAAGTAAACAAAAATGTGCCAAAAGCGCGCTCCCAGCATATTTACCAGTGCCTCACGAGAACATCCCGATCTCTACTTGCTATCTGGACCTTTCTGGTCACGTGACCGCTGTGACAGCCAGTCATGGTGGTCACATGACCTTAAACCCCGCCTCGGCCTCTGCAAGGATTCAACCTATGTCTGTAGCCCCGTCCTCGTTATTTTCACCCCCAGGCCTGGGAGAAATAAAGCTCCGGACACCGAAGTTTGCAAGCTAAATCTCTGAAAGTTTAATGCATGACAAGAACAGTTACCTAAAGCAGAGCTCCACCCTAAAGGGGAAGTTCCGCTGTAAGGACTGCTCCCCCACTCCCCATTAAGGATTGGCACCTTCGGGGAGTGGGTATCCGAATTTGACAGGTACCCGCTCCCACTTCCTGTCCGATCGCCTAGGTCAGGGGTTCTCAACCTTCCTAATGCCGTGACCCTTTAATACAGTTCCTCATGTTGTGGTGACCCCCAACCATAAAATTATTTACCCAGCAATTATAATTCATGAGTGTCGTTTTTTCCTCCAATACTGCTGCTTTCAACACAGTAGCTGCTTTTAACAGAGTAGCTGCTTTCAACACAGTAGCTGATCTTTACACATCGGAAATATGTGTTTTCTGATGGTCTTAGGGGACCCCTGTAAAAGGGTCGTTCGACCCCCAAAGGGGTGGCGACCCACAGGTTGAAAACCACTGGCATAGGTGATCGGAAGCTGAAGGTGTTCTCCCTCCCTGTAGTATTTTGGGACATGTGACAGGTCCCAGAAGACTATAGGATCATTCACGAAGTGCAGCGCTACTCGCGCATGCGCAGTGGGTACCTGGCTGTGAAGCCGTAAGCTATCACAGCCGAGTGCCCACACTGAAGATGTCGGCCTCCTGGAATACAGGATGGCTGATGAAATGAGCTGCGGGGGATACACCACAGGACCGAGGGACAGGTAAGTGGCTGTTTTTTTTAAAAGTCAGCAGCTACAGTAATGGCTAGGATCCTGGACTGGCTCACCGTTCTGGTGCCTTGTAACAAAGTGTGAAACCCAAGTAATCCACTGAAATTTGACAACGTACCTTATGCCTTGCCACTTTGTGTCATTTTGTACCCAGAAAATGTAACAGAGATATACTGTCCTGCCCACAAGCCTCCCGGTTGGGTGAACAATGTAATAAGTCATCCACGTACTTGAGCAATGTGGAACCATGGTGGGGGTGCCCAACCCTTTAAGGATTCTCGGAGGGTCATGGAATATACAGCCAGAGAATTCACATAGCCTTAGGGCAATCTGGCCCAGGTTAACTGTTTGTTGGCCAGAGTAAAACTTAACAGTAGTTGTGACTCTTCGTCAACTTGGACGGAATAAAAAAAACTTTGCTTAAATCGATCCCAGTATAATACTGTATATCGTGTGGAATGGAGGTAATCCATGAAGGCACATCTGGGACAATGGGTGCAATTGGAATAATGAGATTGTTAATGGCCCTGAGATCTTGCACTAAATGGTAAGTACCATCAATCTCCTTGTGACAAAGGGTACTGCTTTTGATATACTGGACCAACTCCAGGTTTGAGTCTGGCCTTGTAAGGTATACAGAGAATATACCCTACATGGGGCGTAGTGTTGGCACAAACTTCAGGCTTTTCTTTGTCTAAATCCTCATGCTCACAAAACAGTGAGATGACTCCATGTGCACCCCTCCCTTCTCACTTACTCTGATTGTGGCCTTCAATTTTCCCAACAAATAGCAACTTCACAGGACATTCTGATATGATCTTGAAAGAATGTTTCACTATGGAACCTTTCCTGTGAGAGTTTGAAATACTCAAAGGGGGTGTTTCCCAGGTTTTGGCACATGTCCCAGTGTCAGCATCTGAAGGTTCACATTCTCCTCTTGTCCCCTATTTCTGTTGCTGCCTCTTTCTCTAGGATTATAACTATGTTGTAACTAGAGATGAGCGAATCGAACCAGGCGAACCGGAATTCGATACGAATTGCAGGAAAAATTCGATTCGCGTCGAATCCGAATATTTGCCTACTTCGGGTGCGCGAATCGGATTTTTCCCGATCAGCCGGCAAAAGTGTCCCTGCAGTGAGCTCCGCTATTTCTGACAGTTCTCTGACAGAAGGAACACATGTACAGCGGTTGAAACATTGTATCTATTAGTTTCCATTTAGGATACAGATGTTTCAACCGCTGTACATGTGAAGAAGCTGTCAGAGAACTGTCAGAAATAGAGGAACTCTGCACATACACTTTTTGCCGGTTTGGAATTCTTATTTTCATCCTACTTCTTCTTCTTCTTCTACTTCTTCATCCTCATCCTCATCCTCAGAAGAAGAAGAAGAGGATGAGGATGAAGAAGAAGAAGAAGAAGAAGAAGTAGGATGAAAATAAGAAGAATTCCAAGCCGGCAAAAAGTGTATCTGCAGAGCTCCTCTAAGTGTATCTGCAGAATGTCATTTATGGAAACAAATAGATACAATGTTTCAACCGCTGTATGGAGTGAATGTCCCAGAACTGTCAGAAATAGACTATTTATGACAGTTCTGGGACATTCCCTCATACAGCGGTTGAAACCGCTGTATGGAGTGAATGTCACAGAACTGTCAGAAATAGACAGAAACTGTCACAGAACTGTCCTTCTTCTCATCCTTCTCCTTCTTCTCATCCTTCTTCTCATCCTTCTTCTCATCCTTCTCCTTCTTCTCATCCTTCTCCTTCTCCTTCTTCTCATCCTTCTCCTTCTTCTCATCCTTCTTCTCATCCTTCTCCTTCTTCTCCTCCTTCTTCTCATCCTTCTCCTTCTCCTCCTTCTCCTTCTCCTTCTCCTTCTTCTCCTTCTTCTCATCCTTCTTCTCATCCTTCTCCTTCTTCTCATCCTTCTCCTTCTTCTTATCCTTCTCCTTCTTCTCATCCTTCTCCTTTCATCCTTCTCCTTCTTCTCATCCTTCTCTCCTTCTCCTCCTTCTCCTTCTCCTTTTCTCCTTCTCCTTCTTCTCATCCTTCTCCTTCTCCTTCTTCTCATCCTTCTCCTTCTCCTTCTCCTCCTCATCTCCAAGGGCATTTAAATTAAAGGTACAGTGTTCTGCACTAATTTAAAGGCTCTCTGAAGCCTAGAAACCCTTTTTTATAAGTTAACTTCGTAGCGAATTAATTCGCATCGAATCGAATTTCTTCCTGGAATTCGCCGAATCAGCTGAATCGAATTTTTGAAAAATTCGCTCATCTCTAGTTGTAACCCTTGAAAATGTGCTTTGTTGGTAAATTATTATTATTATTCTACAGGATTTATATGGCGCCAACAGTTTGCTCAGCGCTTTACAATATAAAGGGAAACAATACAGTAATAATACAGTTCAATACAAGAGGGATTTGAGGGCCCTGCTCCTTGGAGCTTACAATCTAGGAGACCTCTGTAACGGAACCGGTCCCCAGACCGCACTTGGGTATATTCCATTATACCGCAGCTTCCCTGTCCGAACACAAATCCACGGACCACACCATTGAAATCCCTCATGAAATAGACAGCACCCGACTCTTCTTAGAACAGGAAGTCAACTCCTTTATTTTACACACACAACAAGTTATATACACAGGGCGGGGGGAAACACAACCAGGAACAGGAAACACATCATCAGCCCGCCTCATTAGTGGGGAGGGCTACAGGAAACACATCATCACCCCTCCCCATCCAACCAAGACACAGAACAATGGGGCAGAACATGGCAAAAGGACAATAGACAGCCACATGGCCAAGAACAAAGGACAACAAACCAATACACAATAGACATTCACATACACACCCTGCACCCTAACAGGCACAGGGTCACTTAAACATAAGAATTTGGGAAGATGATACAGAGGTCCCCCCCACCCCCAAAAGTCACTCCCGTCACAACCTCAAAACATTCAGTGGCGTCTTTCTCCTTCACTTGTTTTTCAAACGTACCTGCATCCATCTCTGTTCAGTTTGAAATAGGCTGTCTTACCAACAGCAAAATTTCAAATCTGTTTCCTGCCCAGGGGTGTATTTACCACAAGGCAAACAAGGCATTTGCCTAGGGCAGCATTTTTCAGGGGGGGGGGGGCAGCACTGCCCCTTGGAAGAAGGGACGGAAGAAGTGACACACGCAGCATGGGGACCTGGTGGGTTCTGAGAGTTGCTGTGGATTTCATGACGGGTTATGAATAGCCCGACTCTTGTTCCCGGGGATGTCCAGAGCTGTGAAGGTGAGTGTCTTTTTCTCTCTCTCACCATGGGGGATGGTGGCTGCTGTATGGGGTTCAGTGGTAGTGGAAGGCTCTGGTGGAGGGCAGGGGTGCTCTTGGTCAATGTCAGGCTCTTTCTGCAGGGGGGGTGCCAATTTTTGTGTTGCCTAGGGTAGAACAAAACTTAAAGACACCACTGATCCTGCCGTCAAGGTTTGGATATATATAGTGCCCATTTCTGCACTAACCATATCCATCCCAGCTTCTTCCTTCCAAACTTTTCTAAATCTTTTCATGTACTCTGTCACTGTCTCTTTTGTTTCTCGCTTGCAAAGAACAGCAGTTGCTAATTGTGACGGGAGTGACTTTTGGGGGTGGGGGGACCTCTGCATCATCTTCCCAAATTCCCATTATGTTTAAGGCACCCTGTGCCTGTTAAGGGGTACAGGATGTGTATGTGACTGTCCGAGTCTTGTGTATAGTGTGTGTTCCTTTGTTCGCCATGTGGTTGCCCATTGTCTACTGCCATGTGGCTATTCCTTTGTTCTCGGCCACATGGCTGTCCATTGTTTGTTTGCCATGTGCTGCCCCATTGTTCTGTGTCTTGAGTTGGTTGGGGTGGTTTCCTGTAGCTCTTCCCACTGATGGGGCGGGCTGATGATGTGTTTCCTGTTCCTGGTTGTCTTTCCCCACCCTCTGTATAAAACATGTTTGTGGAAAATAAAGGAGTTTGACTTCCTGTTTTAAGAAGAGCTGGGTGTTGTCTATTTCCTGAGGGATTTCAAGGGTGTGGTCCATGGATGGTGTTCGGACAGGGAAGCTGCGGTATAACGGAATATACCCAAGAGTGGTCGGGTTCCGTTACACTAATGATATCCTACTCTTCCATATTCTCTCCATCTCGGCTGTCACCTCCTCCCACACCTTTCTCTAAATGTCTTCCTTCAGCCATGCATGAGTGGCTTCCGGGGTTCCAGGATCAACGAGAACATGTATTGTAGACACCTTTGTCCAGTCAAATCCTGAGTCCATGTCATATCCCAAAATTCCATCAATTATTAATTTCATGTTCTGCTGTGAACACTGTCTGTCTCGTATGGCTCTCTTCTCCTCCTCCTCCCTTCTCTACCCCTCCCTTCTCCCTTTCTGTACTATCAGGACTCTGTGTTTTTCTGCCTGAACTAAGGGAGATTGTGATGGTCTGTCTGTCCTTGAAGGTCTGAGGAGAAAAAAAATCATCCTCCCTTTTAGGCAAAGTTGGATATACTTCTGTATAACGTGTCGGAGCCGATGGTGGGGGGTAAAGAGTGGAGACTCAAGTTACTGTGCTCTGGAGCAGTGCTTCTCAACCTTTTTTCAATCAAGGCACCCTTTAAAATTATGGACAGTCCCAAGACACCCTTTAAAATTATGGACAGTCTTGAGGCACCCCATTTTAGAACGGGGTGCCTCAAGACTGTCCATAATTTTAAAGGGTGCCTCAGGACTGTCCATAATTTTAAAGGGTGCCTCGAAACTGTCCATAATTTTAAAAGGGCACCTCATTCTAAAATGTGAAAAACTATCTAATAATTTTATATAACGCAGCAACATCTACGCATGTAGGACACCCAACATTAGAGGGGATTTATTCTTCCAAAGCAAACACACTTTTGCACCCTGGTACTGAGTAGCATTCCAGTGTTTCTCTTCTCCCTCGGTTTTTTTCCATTACTGAGTTAATGTGACCCCAGCACTGAGGGAGAGGGGCAGGAGAGGGTCAAACCAGAATGCTGTGCAGGCAGCTGACATCTTCCTTCTCAACTGATGATGTCATTGGTTGTCAGGACACCGGTGGCAAGAAGGCCATAAATGGTGCGCTGCGAAAACCTGAAGGTTGCTTCACCAGCTGGCTTGTGTACAAGTTTTGGGCAATTTTTAGACATTTTGCCAAGGCACCCCTGAAGAAACCTCAAGGCACCCCAGGGTGCCTGGGCACCCTGGTTGAGAAAGGCTGCTCTGGAGTGTAACCAGACGCATATTTCAGCCGGTGAAAAACCTGCTGCTTTCAGATACTGTATCCCATAACAATTCCATTATCACATATTCCTTACAAGTTAAAGTGGAGTTTGGCTCACCTGTCAAAAAATAAAAGTCAGCAGCTACAAAAACTGTAGCTGCTGACTCTTAAAAAACAGCCACTTACCTCTCCCTTGGTCCCGTGGTGTGTCCCCCGCAGCCCGTTTCACCGACCATCCTATATTCCAGGAGGCTTGCATCTTCAGTGTGTGCACCTGGCTGTGATAGCTTGCGGCTTCCCAGCTGGATACCCACTGCGCATGCACGGGTAGCACTGCGCTTCATGAATGGTCCTGTAGTCTTCTGGGACCTGTCACATGTTCCAAAAGACTATAGCGAGGAGGGAGGGAGGGAGGAAACCTTCTGTTTCCAATTGCCTAAGCCAGGGCTTGAAATTTCCGCTCGCCCACTTGCCAAATGCAAGGGCAAATCTCTTTGTGGCGAACACAGATGGAGCTGGTGACTTGCAATGGAGCGGGTGGCTTGCAATGGAGCGGGTGGCTTGCAATGGAGCGGGGGGGCTTGCAATGGAGCGGGGATCGATTTGCATTCCATATGTGCTCCAAGCCTCGTTGTGAAGCTGACCTCAGGCTTCCGACTTCCGGTTTCTTCTTCACCGCCGTGGGGGACACGAGGAGATGCCTGCTCACTGTCTTGGGGGACACGAGGCCCTGCTCTCCACCGCCTTGGGGACACGAGGAGAGGTCCGCTCTCCACCTCTTCGGGGGACCGAGGCTGCTTGCACAGCCTTGGGGGACACGAGGCCCGCTCTCCACCGCCTTGGGTGACATGAGGAGAGGTCCGCTCTCCACCTCTTGGGGACACGAGGTCTGCTCTGCACAGGCCTTAATCTTCATAAGTAATTTTTAAGGGGGCGTGGTTAGGTTGGCATGGCTGGGGGCAGGGTTCGAGGTGGACCTGGGCAAGGTTGGGTGGGGCAACTGGTGGAGAGTAAGTTTGTGCCTGGCTAGTTGGTCTAGACTCAAAATTTTAAGCCCTGGCCTAGGCGATCGGACCGGAAGTGGGAGTGGGTACCTGTCAAATTTGGGTACCCGCTCCC